AATACCTGTTTTCCCTGTAGGTTTTATTTTTGCATCGTTAGTGCTATATAAAACCTTAGTTACATACCTACTACAACATATTTTTGGATATCACATTATTTATTTATATGTCTGTCTTTCTTGAAATGTAAACACTATAATTTAGTTTACAATTCTCAAACTCAACCAAGTGTCTAGTTTGTAAATTATCAATGAAAGAATAAACAAATGTGCTCCAGTTCTAAATCCTAGAAAAGCAGTATGTTAGGTTACAAGTAAGCTTTGTAACTAGAAAGTAATGTTGACTTTTGAATATCCAATAGAATTTGGTGCATTTCTCATCCATAAATCCATCTTTAGTATTTTTTATAGGACACAACACTTTTCCAGCAACACATTATATCTTAGACAGACCAAAATGGAGACTTCTCAAAGAAGTTTAATGTTTAAAAAAGTGCCAGTATTTTGTCTACATGCATGAGTATCTCAAGATTTTAATTTCTTTTCACCTCAAGAAGATTGTGATGTATAAACATTTTACAAATCTGATCTCAGAAACCAATGTAAAATCTGTGCTTTAATGTAAAAACAAATCATTATTATGCTTAGTTGCTAATATAATGTATTTATTAAACATTTTGGTGTCAATATCCTTAATATTGTAGCATATAACCTTGAAATGGAGTTAATATCAATTCTAGTCATGGGAATATATTTGGACTTTTTTTTAAACAACTTTGAGTAAAATGAATGACATTGTCATCAAATTCTGCTTGGAGCAAAGACATCAGCTCATTGTTTCCAATTAATAAAACATTTAGTGATGCAATGTTTATTATATTTCAATGCTATTATCATAATGTTAAATATTCTTGTATTTGCTCATGTTTGCTTCTGAAGCTCCATATATCATTCCTGAGTTTGAGCAATTTTCACTCAATTTGGATTCAGATATTGTATTTTTAATTTGGGCTCCAGGAAAATCCCTAATAAATACAGCATTTAGCTTCCTTTTCCTGTTCCTCAACCATGAATTTTCAATCCAATATGACTGATCAAGACATCTCATTTAAGAAGTATAGCTTTAAAAAAAACTTTTTAGAAATAAAATAACTATCAAAGAGGGGATTAAAATCACTGACATTCTGAAGGAGTATTTGCTTTGATTATTGTTCCCACCAGGTTCTTTTTTTGTTATAAAGTGGCAATTTGTACTATCATTAGAAATATACATTTATATATAAAGTATTGCATTCAAATCTCTTTATTTTTTATTACCTATGGCTAAAGACCACAATCAAATAAAAACTCTATATATCCTTAGTTCAGAAGCATATGTATATGTACACATATATATATATTTGTAGAACAATCCACTGTTTTAAATGTGATTCTGACTTTAAAAAATGCTATTTACAATTTTATGACAGAGAAATAACCTCAGCCTGTAATGGTATTAAAATGAGCAGAGAATTTTTATGTTTGAATGTATTTCACCTTGTGCAGATGAAATTAAGCAAGATCACAGAGAACTCTCTCAAGAGCAAAGCCTTGTAGACTAAGCCCATGATGGTGCAAGGGTAGATTTACTATTTCTAGGCTCATGTATTGAAAATGCTATTGATGATGCAGTCATGCTTCTTCACCAAGCAACCAGTGGTCCCAGATTAGGACCTCCATACTTTTCAATACACAGCAATCAAGTAGTTCTTCATTCTTTACTATTGTCTTAATACTCTCATCTCTTGCTGGTGGCACCACAGGACCACCAACCTAAACAGAAGACCTAACTTACTGTTGTCATTTTCTTAAATAGAAGAGTTGTTTTAAATAAGTTTTCAGAATTAGAATGTGTCTCATGAAGAATCACATTACATTGTTTTGGTGTCTCTTTATTGTGCCAATCTACAATGGCTAAAAATGTACTATGAATTTCATGTGCATAATTCAAAGTTAAAACTATGACTATGACCAAAAATAGGATGACTTACTGTCTTCCATTTTCCTGAAGCATGAAAGTTTATAAACTAGCAGATGGAACTTCAGCACCATTTGTTTCTATATCTCAGACTTCTAGCTGAAAAATCAAGGAAAGTATATAGACCAGAAAGCTGTTTTATGAGACTCACCAAAGTTTTGTCTTCATTTATGAGTCCATTGATTTTGAAACATAAGGAATATTAGAGTAACTATGTCTTAATTTATACCTACACAGCCAATTTCAATGCTTTACTAAAAGCCATATTTTGCCTGGGAATATTCCAACACAGATTTTTCAGGGGAGGGACTTTTTTTCATGTAAAGAATAGGTGCAAGTTCAATTGAAGACCTATAAATTAGAACGGTGGAACACGATAAAGAATTATTATACTTGGAGTAAACTGAAAAACAAAATATTAAGACTAATTTATATTTTGGAAAGAAATTAGATAATTATATATTTATATTTGGTAATATTTTTAAAACTTAGAGGCAACTGATTTTTTCTATTAACCACTTAAATTAACACAAAATGTAAACAATAGCTAAGGAAATGTTTACCCGGCACTCTGTCCACAATTTTTGTCAGGGTTATTTATAAAAGAAATATGAGATTTCTCATTCATTCTCTGAAATAAGTTGGAAATAAAACAAAGCTAATTTCAAAAACATTTCACTGCAGTGAACACTTGGTTAACATGATATGGAAGGAAAGCAACATATACAATGGGTAGTTAGGAAACTCAACTGCTATCAGGAGAAAGAGTGGGTATAGATGACAAATAATGGATAACCACTGAAAATAGAGAAGGAATTTTATTGGAGATTCATATCTCTATATTTTTCATAAACAATTGGATAAAATATAGTCTGTCATGAAATAGTGAAGTGAATGGTTGTGAATTCCATCAATTGTGTTACCTGTAAAACCAGCAGCTATGCTATGGTGGACTATGTGTGTGTCACCACAAAAATTCCAGTCATTTCAGGCTAAAAGAGCCTATGACCCATTTTGTTAAAGAGTCTTTTTGTTTTTTCAAAGAAAATAAGGCTTTGTGCTTGGGATTTGTTTGGTCCTGGAAGTGACAGGTACACTTATAGTCAAGTTGAATCAAGAGTGACAGGAATATACAGCCAGATTTGTACTTTTACAAGGGTATTCCTTTCCTAGAAGAGCAACATACCCTTTTTTAAAAAATTAAATGTATCTATTTATTACTTCCTAGGTATTTTGATTAAACAAGTAACAATTGCAATTGTGTATTCAAAATTCTTGCCTAGATATATAACATTTTATTCTTCTCAATTTCTTAGGCAAATTCCTCCATTTCATTTTCTGCTACCTGCCTGAGAACATAAATAGGATAATTGGTGAAGGACAAGAACCACATTGAAGAACAATGATTGTGTAGAGTGAGGGATACTATGTTGATCTTGAAAGAATACAGCAACCAATGCCAAGGTTTGAGGTGAGGGCCTAGAGCTTCTGCAAAGTGTATATATTTTAGGGAGTCATATTTGTAACTATACATGCTGGACAGTAGAAATATAGGAGAAGTTACATGCTAAGTCTTCTCATTAGTAATATCCATAAATCTGCATATATTTTTAACATTCTGTTTTAATTTGGATGTCTCTACACCACTCCTGATTTGTAGGGCTAAGTATAATTTACTTATTCCATTAGAATTGTATAACATTACTTTCTTTGCTAATAGATTCTAATACTTTGGTATTCCTAAATATGTGTTTGCTTGCTCTTACACTGGGTTCTTTTTAATTACTTTAATCTATTCACTGAAGCCTGTCAGAATCATGGCTATTAATTTCATATGCTTTCTCTAGGCCCCTTGAAAATTCAGTGTGTAATAAGTAATCTTTTGTCCTCTAGAAGTCAGACTTGTTGTCAACTAGATTTATAAATTTGGATAAATATCAACAAATACACCACTGGCTTCATAAGATAGTAAATTAGGAATTTCATAGCCACACCTTCCAGTTTCTCACTGAGTTTGGAAAATTCTATATACATAAAACTCTGGCAAGGTACAAAGGCAAATGCAATTTTCTTTGACCCATTTCCTCAGACTTATTTCCTTATGTAAAACCTACCATTCCACTTTCCTGCTGCAAAATATGGTACAAAACTCTAAAACAGCTTTGTACCATTACTCTGGAAGGTGTCCACAATGCACAGACTAAGACCAAACGCAAAGAGTAAGTAACTTATGCCTCACTGCCTGGACATAGCAATGGTAGAGGATTCCCAAAAGTTACTTCAACATTAGGACAAGATTGTGTGTGTGTGTGTGTGTGTGTGTGTGTGTGTGTGTGACTAAAAAGAATGAGATACTGAGTTAATATCTTGATAAAAATATGATATTCTCCTAGGAGAATTTGAAATTTTTATGAAGGAATTAAATTTGCTATTCGATTCAATACAAGATTATTCTTATACAAAAAATAATCTGAACATCTCCAAGAGTCACTTTTTAAACTTTCCTTCATATTGAATGGTTCTTGGTTATAAACCTGCTGGGGATAATTTACACACATTCTACATCACGGTTAAAAAAATCCAGGAAAGAGGATGTAATCATGTGTCATCTCCAGATGTCCAAAGGAAATACAAAATCAAATCAAAACACACATCACAGCATTATCCAGAGTTAAAGCAATTTAGAGTCTAACATCAATTTGTAAGTGCATTTCTCTAAAACCCTTTCCTTTTAGGTAACAACTTTATTTCATCTTTATTATAGTTATAGTTTCATTACAATTGACCTCTATTAACAATAACATAGCTTAATTTAATGTTTGTGGAGTCCTGATTTATTGTTTCCTTTGCGTTTATATGCAGTAATCTTTGCGCATGTGAATTTTCTACCACATTGCAACAGGCAAGCTTTGGTTCGATTTTCTTTTCCTACACAAAGGAAGATATTGAGTTCAGAATCTTAGCTACTAGGTCCTGTGTTGCCATTTTATTTTTCTCTCCTTGGGTGGATTTATTGGAAGGAAATGGGGAAAGGGAAAGGAGGAGATGGGGAAGGGATGAGACGAAAGAAGGGAAGAGTTCTCAGCTATGTTGAATCTTGATTCACGACTTTGCCTCCATTCATGGTTGGTGTTCCAGAACTTTTCCTTGAACGTCCTTGTTTTTCTCCAATTTCATGTAGTGATGGTTCTCTGTACATACACACTGGAAAGCAAAATGAGAATTACTTGTAAGGGTAGACATCAATTTATTTCAGTAAACTTCTCAAATTTGATTTTAGAATATTCTTCACTGTCATCACTATCTCTTCTCCCCACTGTGAAAGACTTTTAACTTGATAATGAACTCAGTAGATATACATAGCTCTTTTCCACTTTTATTGGTCACAATTTTTAGGACTTCTTGAATTGTAGACATAAGAGCTCTGTTTTTTGATAAATAGTCTCCTAATGTATATAACAGGATTTTCATTGCATCAAAGGAAAAATTGGACATATAGCATTTAAAGGTAGAAATTGCTAGTTTGCTTTTCAGTCCTTCTCTCAAATCTAGTTTGGGAAAGAAAAAATATTTACTGACATGAGTTAAGCCACTATCTATATATCTATCATCTATCTATATATCAATTTATGCAAGCTTAAAGAGTTAATAATATGTCCATCAAATATATAAGTGGAGTGCAAAATCTAGTAATTCAGTCTTTTTATTAAAAAAGTCTACATTCTTATGAAATAGAACAATGAAACCTCTTGCAATTGCTTGCAGTAGGACAGGGAGGGGGTTGCGGAGATAGCTGGTGGGAATGACCTAACCAATGTATTGTATAAACCTATTTGGAATTACAACAATGAATCCCCCTGTATAATGAATATATCCCAATAAAAATTTTTTGAAGTTTGCATTTACTTGATGTGAATACAGCTCATCAATTTAGTCACGAAAAATCATGCAAACAGAATCTTACAGTATAGAGTCCATAGGAACTGTGTTTTAAATTTTATAAGTTGTACCAACTTGTAAACACAGTCACAATTTCTTAGGAAAAAAGCAGCTGAAGACCCATGTATATGTATATGAGGTCTACTGCTTAACTAATATGCACACTCCAAGTACCTTAGTTTTGACTGCTACAGAAGGGTGGGGTTCATTTAGTCAAGTTAATATGTCCTTTTGTTCTGGGAGGAGCTAATTTAGCACTTAAGGAGCCTAAAGAAACAATAAATAATAGATCAAGAATTACTAATCTCACAGATAAAATGAAAATCCATATACTTTATAGTAAAAATTAATCATAATTTCATACAACTATCAGTGCTAGAATTTGAAGTTCTGTTATTACTTTCCAATCACAGACTAGTAAGCAACTGGGACACTGTTAGAAAACATGTTTAAGGATTTGCCTAGGTTCTTATCTACAATGATTACATAAATTCTATAACTACTATATTGTGGTTTCCAAATTATTCCTACTCTATGCCAGATAAAGCTTTTTCTCTTCCTAATAATTTTAGTTCCATACTATCCACCAGAAAGATCTTCAATCTTTTGGCTTGTAGTAGCTAAAAGAAAATGATATTTAAGGGAGGACATTTCCACTATTTCCTGTTTCAGTGAACTACTATTCCATCAGGAACACATTTATTTTGCTTTAGGAACTTGATAGTCATGGTATTGCAAATAAATTAGTCACAGCAAGACCACAAGCAACCAAATTTGTGATAATATACAGTATTTATTTATATTTTGCTTTGTTTTATGACCTTAGAAAGAAGAAATAACAAATATGTAGCACTGGGTTTGGAAGTTTTTGGAAAATCCCTCAACATTCTCTGTATGGAATTAGGCATAGGTTTTTTCAGGGTAGGTATTCTGTTTAATATTCTTCTATTATAGTCTTTTCACTGGTGCCTAATATTGTGAATGTAGTCATCAGAACATGCAGGCTTTCCTCGCCATTATGATAGGTGAGACTCTGTTTACAACTTTTAACATCAGTTAATCATTTGTATTTTAGCTATAACTTTTCCCTGGAAAACTTAGAGTAAAATAGTAATTTTCTTAAAGCATGAAAAAATAAAACTAAGCTGTTACTGTTAAATATAAATCAGACAGTTATGCCACACCAGGTGCCAGATAACAACCCCTAGGTTCCCAACTGCTGTATGGTAGAGGTCATTGCGATAATAATAGGAATATTTACTGAGTACTTACTATAAGCCTGTACATTACATACATTAACAGTTTCTCCGGTGACACTAAATGAAATATGCTCATTGTTCTCTTTTTCAATTGAGGAAACTTAGAAACACTTAGATTGTTTAAAGTAATACACCCATCCAGGGTAGTCAGCATTTGAATCCATAATTAACTAACTCCAATTTCCCTGCGTAAACTCACAGTCAAACTAGGTTTAAGTTGAAACCTCAAGAGGAGGATGTTCAGCTTTTCCTGAAATGTTAGTGAATTTCCATAGCCAACTACCTCTTCCATTGTTTCAAAATGATTTACTTTATACACTCTCTTTTCCTGAAACTTCTAATACTACCTCACCCCCTCCTCAGATTCAGGTAAAAATAAACCCTAAATGTCAATAGCAATGAATGTCATGAAAGTCTGGTCTAAGTCACAATATTTGTACACACAACAGTCTATATGGCATCCTTAGGTGATTTCTCTTTTCCTTTTATTTTGACTTTTGGAGATAGGGTCCCACTCTGTAGCCAAGACAAGCCTTCAACTCACTCTGGAGTCCACGCTGCCTCAAACTCCTGAGCTTCCTTGAGTGCTGGGATTACACATATTCACCACCATGCCTAGCCCTACACAGTCTTCTTGTAAGCATCATAAACTTATAATACACTAAACATTCCCTTAGCTACTTCATTACTGGCAATAAAACCACTCCTCTTCTACTCTTTTCCATTGTAATAAATGAATAAGTAACCCAACCATTCACCAGTTATTCATGTCAAAATCTGAGTCATCATTGGTTTCTCTTTTTATCTAACAACCCACATCCAATTCATTAATATGCTCGATCAGGTCTAACTTCAAAGTAAATCCAGTCACTCTTTCTTCCTAGAGCCCAAGCTACCATCACCTTGGCTAACAGGCTGGCTCACTTCTCTACCATCTTGATTTAAATTTATAGTGACTTGCCAGCACATAAAACATAAAATCCAAGGTCCTTCAGGTGGTCACAAAGCCTCAATTTATCTACACCTTTGCCTACACCTCTAACTTCATTTTCTAGCATTTCTCCTTTAATAAAATCATTCCAGACACTCTACCATTCTTGTTCATAACTAGATATGCTTGGATTACATCCAGCCTTTGGAAACTACTAATTTGGCCTAGAAAAACTTCTCCTACATCTTTGCATGGTTCACTGCTAGATTTCTTTCAGATTCCTATACAAAAGTAATTAATTTATGTCATCTTTCCAAAAAGGTTTACTTTGATCTTTCTTTTTTCTCAAACTAATATCTAGTGATATTTTTGAATGGTTGCTTATTTATTTGTTGTTTATTCATTTATTTATTCATTATGCTTTTTTAGACATAAATTCTATGAAGTAAAAATTTCTTTTTCTTGAGTACTGCTGCATTCATATTACAGTGAAGGACACTCAGTAGGTTTCTCATAGTTATTTTCCAAATAAATGTCCCTATCTACTATGCTATGTGGCCTACTCATATAAATGGATGGTTAGAATACAGTGAATCTGGGCATGGTGGTGTGTGGCTGTCATCCCAGGTGCGCATGAGGCTTAGGCAGGAGGATCATGATCTAAGGCCAGTCCTGAGCAAAAGCATGACACCCTACCTGAAAAATAAGTAAAGCAAAGAAGCTAGAAATTTGGATCAAGTTGCAACACATTTGTCTAGCAAGTGCAAGGCCTTAAGTTCAAACCCAGTACCACTACTAAATAAGTAATTAAATAAATAAATACATAAGCAAACAAACAAACACATAATACAGTCAGTGAATCTTTACTTCCTCTAAAGTCCTAAACTTGTGCTTAGCACACTAAAATATAGCAGTATACAGGCAGAATGGATGACTTTGAAAGAACAGAGCAGAATGGATACTCTGTATTGGCCACATTTATCAAGCTCCTCTAGTTTGTAGATATTTGTATAAACAAATAATATGCCATATCTTCACAGAAATAAGAATAATCAATGGCAAAGAAAACAAAATAAGGAAGCTAACCAATCCTCTTCCCTTCCCCATATAAACACATGTAAATAATAGAGTGTAGAAATCAAAAGACTCCAACAATGCTCTAACTTAGTGTTTGCCAAATTGTTACCACCTAACCACCCCATTGTCAGCAACAGTAGCACCTAGAACTTTTAAGAAGCACAAATGCTTAGGCTAACCCAGACAAACAAAATAAAAAACTCAGCAATCTATGTTTTGACAAACTCTCTAGGTGATTCTGATGCACACTCAACTTGTAGGGCAGCTAGCTTAACTCTTGCATGAAAATTACCTGTGTTACTTTCTAAATAATACATGTTTGTATATAAGACTTGCCTTTGCAGGTCCTAATTCAGAAGAACACACACAGAGCAACTGATGAAATAAATTAAGTGAATGGCAAACCCCATTTACACACACACATATACATACTACACATTCCTGGTAGGAAAAGCACTAAGTTTGAGGTTAAAAGCTAATATCTAACAGATGTCTAAAAGATAGTTCTGGTCATAGTTTTGCATCCAACTGAGTAAACCCAAGTTAGTTACTTAACCTCTCTTAAAGGTTCTCTCTTAAAGGCAGTTCTCTCACAATTAAAATGGGTTTAATAAGTACAAATCTGCATACTCCAAAGGTTTTAAGTGACTATGAAATGATACCCATGTTAGGGAAGCAGATTGAAAATAACAATGTGCCATGCAAATAGAATATAAAGTAGTAGACTACGAATTACTACTTTTATATTGTTGCTGGATTCATTGAGGAATATTTTTAAATGGAGTTCTAGTAGAAATTTAGAGAATTAAGTGTAAATCTTTGAGAGTCAATATTGCTTTGTAATGGAGAGTTGGACAACCTTTGTGCAAGGTCACTGTAGTTGTTGTTGAAAAGGTCTGTTTTCCAAATGGAGACAATGTAACTTCTGTTTGGGATGGAACTTATAAATTACATGGTATAAAGAACTCCCATCTCCCACCAGTTTCTATTAAAGAAGA